TCTCAAACCAGTATTCCTCCACCTAAAAAAAGTTATTGCATACACTTTTTTGTATCTCTATATAATTTCAAATAGGCATTTATTTATGTTTCCATGAGAGATATACCTCATTGACAATTTTGCCTCCAAGTTTTTTGAAAGTATATTGTATTCTTTTATTGGGAGTCACAAAGTTTGGTTTCAAACTCAAGCTGAGTGTACTCAAATGATGGAATAATTCTTTTGTTTTCAAATTATCTAAAAGAAGATCCTGATGAAGGAGAGTTATGATTTGCTCGATACCTGTAACAAAAAAAATAAATTTTTGCACATATTTATTCAAAGTTTCAAAACAAACCTGATTGGTTTTTTAGGTAATTGAACATCTTGTAGGACTCTGCCAGTCCATAATGATAAATGACATGAGCTAATGAATCAATGAATACTACATCGTTAGGTCCAAGTTTTTTGACCACATCATCGAAATCCTCTGATATTGGATCAGCTCTCCAGCCCTGAGAATTGCTAACAAAATCATAGAGAACTATATTTTTTTGTCCAAGACTGTCCTTTGCACGGTTGAAATTTTCCTGGAAGACAAAGTAGTGGATTCTATCTCGTAATCGATCCAAATGAATTTTCAAGATAAAATCAAAAATTGATTTGCCTCTCTCTTGAAGATTATCTGAAAACAATTATTAATTACAAATCAACTACCGCTCCCAGCGCTCACCCTCGATGATTACGAATTTTGTGTACGGAACTGTTGTCAGATAATTCCTCAGCATTATGCTGGAAAATATTGAAAGCAAGTCATCCAAATTTTTAAAAATCAAAACATTGTCACGTTTTAAGACAATCAAATGGATAGGTTATGTTTATATGATAATGTCTTCTTCTTCTTCTTTTCGATTCAATGTATGATATGTCTAATGTGACGTATGACATTGAGGGCTATTTCTGTTCACCATCCAAAGTTTTATAGAAAACTGTAGTTAACAAAACTAAATCCCTGAGTTTCACAGAGTTTTCCGTTGATAGTGCATTTAATTGTATTTATACGATGCATTAATATATTGAGAGAAAGAAGACAGAGAAATACTGATTTTGCATTGTTGTTAGGTGTGTTTTGCATCTTTTCACATCACTTATATTCATCGTTTTATTCTAATTTTTATATACAATATCTTATTTTTTTTACATTTTTTAATATTCATTCTCCATTCGTCTCTTCGAAAATTTTCGGTTTTTGTATTTTTATTGTTTTTAACAGTTCATTCACACATTTTGTATTATCATCTCTCATATATTTCAAAAATGGTAACTCTTATAACATTCACAAGCATTTCTGTTAAGACAACACATGCATAATTAGCTCTGAACAGATTGCAGTAAATTTATTTTATACATATGTGAATAACGAAAAAAACACAAGAACTGACACTACGCCCTCTGTCGGCAAGAATTTTCATGTTTGTCCTCATCAGCTTATCAATTATTTTGATTTTGAAATTCATGTTTTTTACTTTTTCTAAATTGAACTCGGCAAAAAATGATGCATGCTCCATCAATTACTTACTATTGTTACGTGTAATTATTCAAACTTTTATATTTATATTTTACTTGTGGTCGGCCGGTAGCCAGTCGGTTCGACGTAGGTGCTTTGTTCACTCATTCAAATCGACCGCCGTGTTGGTCGCTGGTTTAAATCGCAGGCTGAACGATCGATTTTCACTTGCTATCGTCCAACCCGTATTAGGAATCACACGTTGAAAGGTAAGACCTTGTTAGTCCTTAGCTTGCACAAGTTTCGACTTCTGAGAGTTGTCGTTCGTAGGGGTGCGACAGCTGGTTAACGGAAAAACAGATTTTAAACAGTATTTTTTAAAGAGATCTTATCTTCATGACTACCATCGGACTTATCTCATATCATGTAAATTATTTATGGAGATTAATAAAATTATGTATCTATCTACCTATCTTATACGATTAATCGAACGCGACCAAAAATTGAGATGTGGCAACTCTGTAGAGTCTCCCATGCTTTTATGTACTAAAATTGTCAAAATATGAATCATCAATAAATATTATTTTTGTTTGGAAAATGATATCTCACATGAATTCGTATGAACAAAAAAATGTCTGAAAATAATTTGAATGTGAGTGACAAAATTAAGAAAAATCTATCATGTTGCATTTGAGATCAGGGTTATTTTGAATGTATTTTCAGGACTATACTAGTGATACTGAGAGCTCAGAAGATGAAATAGAACCCAAATTAAAATATGTTAGGCTGTCAAATGATTTACAGAGTATCCTGTTGACATCTTGTGCAAAATGTATCGCAGTTCATCCAAAAGTAAGACTCTTTCTCTAACCAATGGGTGCTGTGTTCACTTGAAATGTATCCACTCTGTACAATATGAGGAAATGGGAAAGCTTCAGATGTTCATACTTATATTTTTCATTGTGTCAGGTTCTTTATTTTTCAC